AAATGATTATTTTTTTTCAAATATTAGTAAAAAAAACTTAATTAATCAAATCATATTGAACCAACATAAAGGATAGTTATTTTTTTTAAATTTTATTTTAGTTTTGATGTACCGAACTGAATCATTTTGTTTAGGTATATGTTCTATAATATCTAAAAGTATCTCGTAATAATGCTGCGATAGAATTGCCAAGATACAATATATTCATTGTAAAATGATAAAGCGAAGATTTTTGTTTATTTTTTACGACTTAAACCCTTAAGATATATTAACAGTATCATGAATCATACCTTTCTAGATGTAGATAAAATACCATATATTCATGAAGGATAATATTTAAAAAGTTTTAGTATATCGGGCATCTGGTTAAAGGCGTGGTTAAAACAGAAACAATAAAAACGTTTGGTATTTGCCTGAAAGGTATATCAGATCTATCTCCCACGATCTCATTGAAACGTTTGGCCAATCAAAACCTTTCTTTATAAAACGCCCTTATAGATTTGAAAACTCTGATTGTAAAATCATTTCCAGCAATTGACTGACTAGGTTTCGCACATTTAATTTAGGTAAGAACAACAAACAAAAAACATATTTTTTTTGTTATTATAGTTATTAAGATAGTATCACTGTTTTATTTTATTTTCATTTTATTTTAAGATCGGATCACTATTTTTTTATGTTTATTTTATTAAGATCAGATCACTATATCTTTTTATATTATTTAACAAGGTATATTAACATGGCACGTGATCAATTAAGCCGGTCTCAGCCAGTTTTGGACAAAGAGGCAAATGGCACAGCGGGTAGCGAGCTAGATCAGCGCTACACTGTGGCATGATCATGAAAACGAGACTTTATCCTGTCATCCATTAACCATATTGTAAATCGGTATCGGTAAGATCTGGCAATGTAATGTTGATGTGATACGAACATTTATTTTTAAAGAAATACTGCCACCCGTCTTTTATTAATAAATTTTATTAATTTTCTTTTACAATAATACTATGGTCAAATTTTTAAAAATCAATTTCAGATTAATAATCATCTATCTTTCCACCATGTTTAGACAGATACTTCAACTTTTTATGATGATCTCCCTAGCTTCTGGGTTGAACGATATCACGATTGAATTTGAGGATATCGCCATGGATTCCAGTTCCGTCGACAGAATATTTATGCGATCAATGGCTCATGGCAAGAAAACAGCGTTGATTTATACAGGGGAAAAGATTGAGATCGACTTTTGTTTGGATGATGAAGAAGTGTTCCTTATTAAAAAAATCGTCTATTCTACGGATGGGTATCCGGACCAAGTTGATGTCTTTCTCAATAATCGACTTGTTGGTCAGTTTACAACCCACAGTGGTACCAACTGGGGTTATCTTTGGAACGAATTTCACTTTACAGGTGCCCTCGGTATGGCCTTTAACTTAGGTCGCGGGCAACACAAGTTTGCCATTTCTCTACGCTCAGCTGACATTTATGGTGTCGAACTGGACTATGTCGATTTTGGATTTTCAAAGAGTTCTTCGGCTGCAAGCGTCTTGTGCTCAAATCATGGCCACGCAATCAGTGTCGCCCAGTCTAATAAGGTTCCAGTTTCTGTGAATCTTGGAACACAGAAATCCTTTAAACGACAACCGGCACCAATAATGATCCGACCTTCGGATATTATTGCTGGAGAAATGAAGAAATACGAAGGACAAGAAGCTCTTGGAATGAAGGACGAATCTTTGGACGATTACGTAAAATTATACAGTACCACCAAAACCGACAACTTCTTGTTAACATCCGTGGAAGAGGGAGAAAGCAAAAAATAAGTATAACAAATATTAATGAATGGGTAAATGACTTGAAGCTACTGTGATAATTTGTATATTTAATGGTGAATAGTTTTGAACTCAGGAAGAATATCATGAGCCAAGGCATTATTATCCCGGTAAATCTGGATGTGTTAATGTAATACTAGTAATACACAGACTATTATTATCACGACACGACCTTATCATTACTCAAAACCCACCCTCTTTACAAGAGACAGAGAGTACGAAATTTCTTGCGCATTCCGTTTACATTTTTATACCATAATTTTCGATCTATTCATTCATAAAATACATCAATGTCAACAGAAGGTGAGGTCTACTGCCGAGATAAATAAGTTTTCAAGCTAATTTGAAAAGATTTTACATATTACAAATCAAGATGTACAAGTTGTAATTACTATATCGGAATTCTACTGGGTAAAGTTTGATATTAAGATTTTTAAAAAAATATAATGTAAATATTTTCTAGCTTGATTGGGTACATGGTATGATGTTAACAAGAGCATCGCTAACGCTGCAATATACGTCCACATTCTAGCTTTGATTGATATGGTACTTTTTAAAATCAATTTAAGAGAATGAAATATGAAATGGCTGTAATATGATCAGAGGCAAAGAAGGCTAGGCGTCGGGTTTGTTTTGCCAAATTCACAGACAAAATACTAACAATAAAGTGGGTGTGACACTGCCCCAGGAGGTCGGGGCAAGCATCAAAATAAATAGTTGCTGTCTTTATGGTATAAGGAATAAATATGCAAAGTTCCAAGATGATCCATTCAGAATTGCAGCCTGTAGACGATAAAATACAAAAACTGGGCGTGGCTCTGCCCGTGGGGGTTGGATATGGAAACAATATAAATAGGTACCATCCTGTTATTGAAATGACAACATCAATAGTTGCCGTCCTTAGGGTATAAGGAATAGGTATACCAAGTTCCAAGATAATCCATTCAGAATTGTGGCCTTTGGGCGTTAAAGGCAAAAATTGGGCGTGGCTTTGCCCCTGGGGGTCAGGGCATTCACCAAAATCAATAGGCGATGCCCTTAGGCTATAAGGAATACATATGCCAAGTACCAAGTTGATCCATTCAGAATTCCGGCCTGTAAACGATAAACATAAAAATTGGGCGTGGCTCTGCCCCTGTGGTCGTGACTTGCAGTTGTCGTCCTTAGGCTATAAGGAATACATATCCCAAGTTCAAAGACAATCCATTAAGAATCATGGCCTGTAGGCAACTCACAGAGACACAAAGAAAAAATGGATGTGGCTCTGCCCCTGGGGGTAGGGCAATCACCAAAAAACAACCGAGGGCATCCTTAGGGAAAAGGAATAGGTATGCAAAGTTTCAAAAGGAAATGTTAAGAATTGCGGCCTGTAGGCGACACAAAAGGCACACAAATTTTGGGCGTGGCTCTGTCCCAGGGGGTCGGACATGCACCAAAATAATAGAGGTCAGCCTTAGGGTATATGGAATAAGTATAAAAAAGTTTTCAAGATGATCGATTAAGCATTTCAGGCTGTAAGTGACATACAGACACACAAAAAGAAAATGGGCGTGGCTCTGTCCCTGGGGGCTGGGCATTCGCCACAAACAATAGGGATGTTCCTTGGGATAGAAGGAGTAAGTATGCAAAGTTTCAAGGTGATACGCTAAGAAATGCAGTCTGTAGATGACAAACAATGAATACAAGAAATGGGCGTGGCTCTGCCACTGGTGGTCGGGCATGCACCAAAAACAATAGGGATCATCCTTAGGGTATAAGGAATTCATATGAAATTTTTTCAAGACGATCAATTAAGAATTGTGGTCTGTAGGAAACGCACTGACACACAAAAAGAAAATGGGCGTGGCTCTGCCCCTGGGGGTTGGGCATGCACCCCAAACGATAGGGATGTTCCTTGGGGTACAAAGAATGTGTATGCAAAGTTTCGAGATTATTAGTTAAGAAATGTGGCCTGTAGACGACAAACAAACAAATACTAGAAATGGGCGTGGCTCTGCCCCGGGGGGTCGGGCATGCACCAAAAACAATAGGGATCTTCCTTGGGGTATAAGGAATAAGTATACCAAGTTTGAAGAAAATCCATGAAGAATTGCGCCCTGTAGGCGAACCACAGACACACACACACACACACACACACACACACACAGACAGGGGCGACGGCATAATACGTTCACATTATGAATGTGGACGTATAAAAATTGCGTTATTGATGTTAATTTAATATTTATTCTTCTGAAAAGTATGTCTTGACGATCCATTCATAAATATAGATGTCGATAGATATAGAAAGGCTTATCAGGGTTCTTTGGAATAAGTAAAGATGCTTTCCTACGAAAAATTTTTTTAGGGTAGTTATTATATAAATTAAAACCAAAAAAAAAAACCATCTAGGGTATCACACACTGGCAGATTTCGTCGACCTATTGTCTGCTTGACAATAACTCTGTCATTAAACGTTGGAACAGGAAGTGGGCCTGAATAATTCAAGAATAAAAATCATATTCGGTAGTAATAATCTATGTGTGTGTACATTAAAACCAGAAACGGGACTGTAAATATCTCGTTTTAAATAGATGTATATAACGGTTAGGCTATATATATTTATTGTGTATTTTTGTATATAAATGTTTCCATTGATGTAACAGATAAGATAAAAAAATCCCACGGTTATATTTTAATTTTGCCACGATCATTATTCGTTTTAGCAAGGCTGAGATTTTGAAGGTTAATATCTGGGTTATTTTTGATGGCTGTAATATTCTGTGATGATATTGGTACCACCTGAGAGAGAGAGAGAGAGAGAGAGAGAGAGATTTCAATGATTCGTGTGCAGTTGGATAAAACAATTTAAAAACACCTGGGGTAGGTAGGCAAGGCAACCCGACAAGCGTGGAATTAAAAACCCGTGTCAAAACCATAATATGGCCTATTGGTATAAATGTAACAAAAATGATAACCAAGGGAAATGCACCATGAATCCCATGACAGGCGAAACTCAGCAAACTAATATTATGGGGATCACGAGGCATTCCAATTAATTGCAACGGTTGCTGCCAATAAACACCCTTATAACCCATTTTTTTTATCAATCTGCTGCATAATGGATTCTATTCAGTTTTCTGGCCACAGTATACAGTAGTTTATTACACTACCAACGGATTCGACCCCAAAATTGATACACCAATATTGTTATATTTTATATTTTTTTATTTCCATCTCCGATTTGTCAGGTAAAAAGAGAACTATACACAACTTATATTAAAATTTATACGTATGTATACCTAGCCTGAAACTGTCTGATAAACACTATAACGTGATATATTGTTAAGGCATATTAAAATTCGATCGTCTCTTAAATACATTAAATGCACCGTAAGCGAACAATTTTATTCACCCCTTAAATTTACAAATAGATGACAAATATTCCACACAAATAAACACATTGAGACGAAACCAAAATTTAAAAAAAAAAATAATAAACCATTTTTTTTAGTTACCTTTACTAAAAATAAATAAAATTGATTAATTCATTATTCATCAATTAATAAAGCATGACCGCAAGCAAGGCGGTTATTATTCTGACAATTATATAACATAAATTAAAATATGCAAATATGTACCTGTATTTACAACACTGAACACATTAATAAAAATATTTCTTTTGATTTGTGAAAATATATTATTATTATTAGTAGTAATATTATTATTATTATATAATAATCAGTCATCCATCTTCAAACAATTAACAATTACATACTACAAGGGTTATATCCAGAGCCTTATCTATATATAAGGCTCTGGTTATATCTATATACATGTATATAGCAGTTGTCACTTATACTTTGTCAGTTATTTATTCATCTTTATAATATTAAGTATTTTAACAGGACAAGTTACAATTCATCAATCTGGTGAAAGAACACTGAGACAATTATAACGTTTTTTGTCAAATAAATTAATATACCCTCAGTAAACCGAGCTGTTCTTTTTTCCCCATTCAGCCTGAGACTTATACACGCATAAGCTTACTGTAAAGCCTCACTTTTTTTAAAAAGGAAAACAGCCAATTAGAATCTTGTAAAGGGTTACACTCACGTATATGCGGGATATAACAGAAGTCAAATCATTCTAGAGGGTACCGTAAAGGCCTCTTCACGTGCCACACATCTTTAAAAACACGAAAAAATATAAATGAACCAAATAATGGAATAATGAGAGAATAATGGTATTGGGTGTAAATATAGCTAAAATACAGCTGTATTAATGTTTGTATAGTGTAATGTAATTTCATAATTATCTTCCTATATATCACGTGTCATTCTGAATTACCATAATCAAGAAATATATCTGTATTTCTCACGGGCATTTCTATCTTAATGTTTGCCTAGAGATACAACTTAACATAGACTGATATGAGAACAATAAAATAGAAAAAAACCCATAAAATATCCGCCTTAAACAGAATAGTGCTGGCCTTCAGCATATATAATGAAAGCCTCCAACTAGTCCCCAATCGTTGTGGGAGTATTTTAATCAAATTTTGAAAATGCCCTTTTTTTTTAGAAATGTCTAAACCTAATTCAATATGTGCACAATCTCATATAATATTGCTGAAAAAATACTGATCATACTCCATGAAAAAGAAAGTTAGGAATAATATTTGCCTGACAGCATTATGTCTCCAATAATGTGCACGGTATTATAAACCATGTAAAAAGAACATGGCCATAGATAACTACTTAGTGAATAATATAAGAATGAAATACGAAACATAAATAGGACCTGGATATATATATATTAAACATTTCTGATATATTTGATCATATATACGTGATTCCCCCCCTTTTTTTTACTAGTCTCGGTCACCCAGAACCTCCTAGTCTTCAACATACGGAGGGTCTGGGAAGGTTGTCAATATTTGACGTAAAGTCCATTGCCCATGCGTAACCGGGAGTTTGGTTTTTAATGTGGTTGATTATCCAGTCTCTTTAGCCAAGTCAAGTAAGAGTTGCGCCCCTTCCCACAATAAATCCCATAATTCTTGCATTAATATAAACATGAATCGTGACGACGAATTAGGATTAATTTTAAAAGCATAGATATGGCCCATGAAGAGGGAAATTTTACAATAAAAAATTAAGAGTGATAGATATTAAACTCGCATGCAATCAAATGGATTTTTTGAAATGACATTCTTAAATTAATTTCATGGGCGTAAACATCTTGTTTTAAGAGGAGTTACCTCCCTTAGACATTGTTTATGATAATGTGAAAGACCGGATTATCTAGCCAATTTTTCTCAAATGTTGACAACCTGTCCAGACTAATATTCGTAGAATATTTTTCTGGATGATAGAGACTATTTTTTTACCAGACCTACGTTCACCTAGGAGTTAACCCCCTTTAATTAAGCAATCTGGACAAAACGGTAATATTCCATACTTAAGGCACGTAAATACTGATTGCGTAGATAGGTTAGTTCAAAAATAATACGCATTCTTTATTAATATCTAAATCAGTCTTAGGTTTCCCGCTTTTATCTTCAATACCATCAAATATACTTATATGCATGAACACAATGACACCTTAACTGTTATTCTGCCCCAACACCAGCAAGAATATCCAAATATCACAACACTTTTTGTTTTATTATTCAATCTGTGGAAAATCTTAATGTCTATCACAGAGTTTTACATACACTTTACGGTTTGTTCACACCAATTTTAAACGAACGGAACCAGTCGTGTACTTGTCATGTTTTCATTTTCGATTGCCGTAAATAACAGATCCACCATTTTAAAATTCATTCTCCAATTCTTTCTCAAACCTTTGATCAGTACGATAGCTGAGGTAATTATCTTCATTTAAAAATATACATATGAAAAGACAATATAAATAAAATTGTTTCTCGTACGGGAGTTTGTCTACATTATTGAAACTAACGTATTTCTTCCCTCCCTGTTTAAATGACTATGGGGTTAAAATTGCACCACATCTTTATAATTTTTTTCAGAATGACTTTAAAAATTCATTAACTATGGTTCACCAAACACATCCGATCTGATATAACTTTAAAAGTCTTTATCCCAACCGGACAAATCATCTGGAGGTGGACCGTCCTCATCTTCAGGATAATCATCAAAGTTCGATGTATCTATTGGCGATTTAATCTGAAACAAACAATAACATCATTGTCTAAACATAGGACTTGGCGCCAATAACACAAAAAACTGATCTTATAGCTATACATACTTGATCATCAATGGGAATAATAATCTTATAGTCAAAAAATACACGACCATGAATACACGACCATTAATGGGAATAATGATCTTATAGTCAAAGGACACACGAACATCAGTGGGAAATGATGATCTTATAGTCAAAGATACACAACCATCAGTAGTAAATGATGATCTTATAGTCAAAAGATTCGCGACAACCGTATTGCTATACACGACCATCACTGAGAATAATGATCTTATATTCAAAAGATACACGACCATCAATGGGAAATGATGATCTCATAGCTACATAGTCAAAAGATACATGCCTATAAGTGGAAAAAAATATGATCCTGAAGTCAACATCATCAATAGGAAATGATGATCATTAGCTACAGAAACACGACCATCAATGTGAAATGCCGATCTTATAACTACAGATACAGGACCAAATATAATTCAATTAGCCCTGGTTTATCGATTTTATACCCGAGGGATGACGCATTCTTTTAGACCTATCGATTACTATAATTGGTGGACCTATTTAGATGGGACAACACTACTGGGAGCCGACACGAGGTCACTAAAACCTTATTATCCTAGACTGCCCAGGAAAGAAATCTTCACTCTAGCTTTGCGCACGTGACCAAAGGAAAACTGTAACCGTATACTAAACCCAGAATAAATAACCAAGAGGTTGCTAGAAAACATTTTAGTTGGAGTGAAAAAACAATTAAAGCAACGGAAATCAAATATGTGGATGTTGTAATGAAATAGATCTGCTAGAATTTCCTTTCACTGTAAAACATTGTAATAAATATTACACATTATGGACCTAATCTGGGATTTTCCGGCTTGGTTGCCCCTATTCAGTGGTGCAGGACAGAGAGTCTGGCAAGGGACAACGTATAGTCGTTCGGATGGGACAAAAAACCGAGTACACATTGGAATGCACGTAAAAGATACATTGGCAGTTGGGATTCGATATAAGAGTAGGCCGTAGCGTCGCTGCACGGGCAAAATTTCACTCATAGCACATTTATGACGTATGCACGTCTTCATTAGCCCAATCGGAGCAGAACAGATAGGACGTTAAACACATTTCATTTCATTTCATAATAAACAATATATCTTACATGTGGTGATATCGGTGGTTTCATTGAACGGTTTCTTAATCCATCCCAGTTAAATCCTTCAAACCATGTATGTTTCTGTATTTCTCTAATACCACCTCTACCATAACCTAATCTCTCCATGGGATTATCCCTGTAAATATATACATGTGTAAATTATTAAATTTAATTGACAGTAACAACCATTTCATTATCCCAGTTCAGAATCGTTTACTTGCACGTACAAAAAATATAGAAGTCCATAATGAAAATCCCCACTATCATTATTAATGTATGCTTTTCCTAATGATAACAGGAAAAAATCAACCTTGTAACTGTTAATTGTAATAACTAAAATAAGGAAATGAGGTAAGGAATCAGATTGTAAGGAATGCAACAACCCTTTGTTGTACTTTTATATCATAAGATAGTTTTACGCGCAACGAACTACGTCCGTTTCCACCCAAGGTAATATCGCAGATAATTTAAATCTTATTTTTTCATTTTTTTATCTTAGCGCATGCGCAGGGGTCTTTCCTTTTGGAGGAAACCGGAGTAAACCCACGAGGTTGAGAAGGCACCCCCTATCTCCACATACGCTCACACCAGGGATCGAAACCACAACCGCAAGCCAGAGGTCACCGGCCAGCTATAAGTCGAAGCGCGACACTCTAGACCACTATATAGGCCACCCAACCCCCTCGTCCGATTGTCGCTTACTAATGCTTTTATAGGTAACTGAAGGGTTTACTGCACATAGCTTAACATATAATAAACCAATTCCTATTGAAATAAAGGTGAAGCCTTACCGCATAATTATATGATATGAAACCCAACTGCTACGCGAAATTTCTCGACTACCGAACTTACTTCAACTGGCCGGTGTCATGGCGGCTTTCACATTATAAGAAACATCGCTTTGAAAATGTAGAACGCATTACCACACAGAAAAATTGTTCGGTAACTATTTTAGTTGTCCAGTCTTCACTATTTGTGATAGAATTACTTATTTCAATACAAACTGTAATGATATGTGTTGACAATTTTGCGTTTGAACCTATTTAAACTTGCGTAAGGAGTCTTAGACTGTATCAATTGTAGCGTTAAACACAGTTTAACCATACATAATTGTAGCTAAAGGGTTTACAAGACACTAAAACGTGACCAACGGCTAATTAATGGAAATCGCTAATATTTAACTGGCTTCTTCCTAACGCAAATCAATCGGATAAATTTAGACAGGGGTGATGACAATTCGTCAATATAAAATTGATTTAATCTTTTCTTTGAAGACTTGAATTTCTTTTGTCGGTTTTTGTTTTAAAAAAGGTGTCAATACAAAATATTCCGTGGTGGTGATATATTTAATCGACGAGTTATACAAATACTAACCTGCGCAGGATAACTGCCAAATAATACAGGATTAACATGGCGCACTAAGTGCTAACCCTAGATTAAGATGTCAAAGTGAACCTAAAGCTGTTACATACGATCAAATTCTTCATTCCCCTAATAGACGTGCAAATCTGCATCAGGTGTTTCAAAAAAAGGTGTGTATAATATACAATACAGTGTGCATTTCACCCATCACAACGTTTTGCTTCGAAGCCGAAAGTTGAGCGACAAGTCGGGTAGATTTGGGGTGAAAAATTAAACACTATAAATACGCCGTACGCAATAGATCCTAAAAACACATACGTCATAGATCCTAAAGACAAGTACGTAAAAGATAAAAACCAAAATACCAATACGTCATACATCCTAAAAATCTATTAAACGAAAATGAAAATTGGGGTAAGTGAACTTCCCAAATGGAAATATATTAAAATAATCAGTAGCCAAATACTGAAATAGTTTTAGATGTTGTAGAAAAAGTCATCCATTTTCAAAATGAACCCTATGTATACAAAGAACAGCATTTGGCATGCTACATTCTTAGACTATACATTCGATTTTTTTTCAATTCAGATAAGATATACATTTAAACATTAACATTATTGCTACAATATGCCGCCTGTTCTCTAAGAAACATTTTAAAATGGCACACGTTTCACATTTCCACTATATCTATTATTGATAATCCAACAAGCCGTATCAAATCTTATTTGTAACAGATAGATGTTTGCCAACTCATAAATTACATGGGTTTAACCTTCTCGAAGTCAGCTAAAGAGACGGGTAAACGATAAGGAATGACATACACTCAACTACTTTATCCGAACCACCACAAAGCAATTAACTATCTTTTATAGAGATATTTTCATACTCTGTTATAAGAAACTTCAATTCTGGCGATCAGTCAACTATATAATTGACGCTACATCTTTGATTTTGTTTGAAGTATCTTGTTAACACTTGCTTTACAATGGATTGTTTCTTAATTTATTTTTGCAGAACATTTTGCGCTGGAAACAAAAGGTAGCTAGCTACTGCAATTCCTGAAGTAGACGACCAAATACGAGTTAGTACGTGAGATACTATTCAATTACTGGCAAAACAAAAGAACCATACCTGCATAGTTTTTTTATTAATATTTGCGCATTTTTGGTGATTTTCCTTGGGAAATCTATTGCATCAATGCCCTTTAATATGAGGTTATAGGTTTTCATTGGATCTGGGCCTGCAAATGGTGGGCTGAAACATAAGACAATGACATTGGTCAAAAACAGGCTTCACACAACATTAACAATAAATATTGAACTTAGCTAAACGAACAAAAAAATAATACAGCAAACAGTTATAAAGGCCAGCCTTTGACGCAATTTAGGAACGTCAACACCAATCATTGCGGCATACTTACAACTTTACCCATTTCCGTTTTACTGATTATTGAAGCCAAATGTTTCAGACGGATTGATTAGTTGGGTGTTTGGTTTTTGCTCAAGAAAGGCAAAGCGGCCTGTAGCGTCTACGTTTGCATGGCTTCATTTTAATTAATAGTTTTAGACATGATTCATTTGAGGAATGACAGTTCCTGATTTACTGGCATTATTGTTTGAACAGTTCAACAATAATTGATTATGTCAACAACAAAAATCCCAAGCAACGTCAATAGACAACTCACAATTGCAAACAATACATTGCTTAAAATATTTTGAATGATAGTGTGCCATTTAATCGAATTTGTAATCAAGAGAAAGGGAATGTTTAAACAGACGTATTTAGCGTTAAACATTTATGGAAATAAAATATGATGGGTCTCATTAATTAATCATTATATTAAATGCTTTCTGTCTGCAGTTTATTATCATTTCGTTACGATAGTAATTAAAACATTAATGTTCGGATAATACGCCATTTGAAATCATTACTATTAACGATATATTAGAAAGAAACATATTACACACTTTTCTAGTGATAATACAACACCTGGGTCTGTGAGTTCAATTTGTCAAATCACTTAGTAATTATCGAAATTAACAACGATCACAGCGTTTTTATGATTTTTTATATCATTTAAAGTGGAAATACGTGTATATAAGTCGGAAAACTTTTGTGGCCACAAATCAGCTTTTAATTATACTAATTGTTGCATATGCATATTAATTTGGAAATTTTAACAGTTTAAGTTCCCGTATTTGTATAATGCACACTGTTTTCTCTTTATAACACCATTTACTGTATATAAACGTTATTTTGGTAGCCATCCCATTTATAATTAGAGTTTTGTTTTCTTTAAAAAAAAGTTGTATTTGAAAAATGTGGAGGTTTGTAAGATTCAACTTTAATATACTATAACTTAACCCCATGCAACGACTGAGTATGGCTGTGTTTTTTTTTAAAAAAACAAACTAAAATTCATAAAAAGAATTGTCACTAGATAAGGGAACATGAAAGAAAAATAGAAAGTCCGTGCATTACCATGTTTTTATCAAGTATAGAATGAATAAAAACAAGGGAATGTACGGACTATTTCTATTTTTCTCGTGTTCTCTTATCTAATGACATTCAATTACTTTTTTGAATTGTCCGATATCCTCTTACAGTCTCATATAACAACTTTTGGTCTTCGAAGGAATTATTAGTGAGCAGAAATTCGCCCATGTATCTGTTATCACTCGTCACTTCGGTCAGTTATATAGAGGATAACTCGTGTTTTCCTTTTGCGTTCGTCACTTCCGATTGTTGAAACCTTCATTACGCATCTATCGTAACAATGATCTCTGTGTTAAAATTTTATTTGGAACGTGTTTAACCAGTTCTATCACATATGTGATAATGACTTGACACCAATATTGTCCACCGGATTAAATTAAATAGTATAGTATGTAAACCCACCTTCCAGTAAGTAATTCAAACATGAGTATACCAAGAGACCAGTAATCAGCTGATATATCATGACCCTTGTTTAAGATAATTTCAGGCGCCACGTATTCAGGAGTACCACAGAATGTCCACGTCTTTTTACCGTGACCAACCTTTTTAGCGAAACCAAAATCAACCTGGAAGATAATCAATAAATAATGTACGCTATACATATTTCTTTGGAATGTCCAACCAGCGGTGGTCAGGCAAGATACGTCCACATTTTACAATAGATGGATAGAGAACAAGCTAAAAAAAAAGTGAATTTTCATACAATCAGAGGCCATAATCCAGAAAGTTATTGTCTGAAATGCGCGAATATCGAAATGAACTGAAATATTTGGGATATAAAGATATATTTTAAGTTTCATCAAAATCGGATAAAAATTGTGACTTCTAGAGGGTTCACAACCTTGGTAATACATACTTTTACACTATTTGGATACAAGGAGCGGTCATTTTGTCATGCAGTTTCGGTCCGATTTTCACGAAATTCGAACTCAACCGTCATTTGGGTGTAAGGGTGATACATTTAAACGTTTTTTAAAATCGGATAAAAAATGTGCCCTCTAGAGTGCCCCACAATCAAGGGACAATGCATGCCAATATCGAAAAGAACCGAAATCCTTTGAAGATAAACCTATATTTCAAGTTTCGTCAAAATCCTTTGGAGATAAACCTATATTTCAAGTTTCGTCAAAATCGGATAAGAATTGTGACCTGTAGAGTTACCACAAAAAATTGTGGACGGGCAGACGGACGTACGGACGTCCAGAGGTTCAGACGGACAGGGGCGACGACAATATACGTCCACATAAAATTGTGGGCGTATAAAAACTTTCGAATTCCGCGAAGTGCTTTTCTACAGAGTTACACATTGTCGTACAGCTCCACTAATTTCCCAAAATTTAAAATAAATATACCCATACTCCATTAAAAGTATTATATTGTTTGGGAAATCATTACATAAACATGCTCCGAACTATAGAAGGTATAATAACAGTTTTGGCCGACTAGCAAATATTGTGCTATGATAATTCGGATTAGAGCAAACTCTATAGAAGTAGTGTCTTTCAGCTCTTAAAAGATAGTCGCATTCCAATATTTTATGTGTTTACAGTGGATTCATTTTAATTATTTTAATAAATGTTTTGTAAAAGATATGAATAAGTGCATGGCCCTTTTCCTGATAAGACGAACTGGATATCAACTAACACCTGTCTGGGAAGAAACATATCATGATAATATTGGCACCAACGATGTATCTAATATCATTGTGTACAGAGATAATACAAGAATGCTCAAACTAAATCTTAAACAAAAGAGTTATCCAAACAACCAAACAAGCCCAAGTTATATGATACAAGCTATCTTGTTTCTTAACTGTTTGCCACGAGTTAAAACAAAGTCTCCAATTTCTAGTTCGTTGTTCTAAAACATTTACATGCTTTGAAATTCATTACAGGTAATATTAACTGATTCTTCAAAGATTGTCGGTGATTCGTAATTATGAATAGGCCAGAATGTACATTTGTTCAAGTTATCCGGAAAAGAGATTTCGTTCCTATATGACGTCTTTTGAAAGTTTTTACAGGTGAAGTTTTATTTTTTTTGAATTGATATAACGATTAGTGAAATTTCAAGTCCAGTACTTTTCACGAATACTCATCTGGCTCTTTTATAAGTGCCAGCTATGCAACTCTAATAAACATGTAATCGAATAATGCTAAGAAGGTCGTGTCACTCTTTAGAGCAGCGTTACAAAAATACTCACAAGTTTGACGTAACCATTAGAATCCAATAGAAGATTTTCTGGTTTGAGATCACGGTAGACAACACCTCGACTGTGGAGGTAGTTGAAGGCTTCTACAACACATGCTGTGTAAAATCTTGTCGTATTATCGTCAAATGAACCTCTGAAAATCAAAATAATGTTTAATGGTGTGCGAAATACTATTTCAAAGGATAAATAAAAAACAAATCTAACTGAATACGAGTGACAGCATAGTAAGACAACTTTACTAAAACACACAGCTGAAATTAAATTCACAAACCAATATTTAAAATTTGCTAAAAATCACGATAGACCAATAACACCTTTTTGTTTTTGGTTCATTTAATCTGATTAAAATACGGGACCTATTTCGTTTCGTTTTATATTGTATAAAAATGTCGTTTTACTGTCTACACTGTGTGGAGGCCATTGAAAGTATAACAAACAAACGAAATATTGTTTAAGCAGATGTATTATAATGAAGGATGTACCAATTTAATGTTTTGATTTGTAAAAGATGGGACTTTTAAAACCCTAAAACACCCGTTCTTTTTCGAATAATGCATTGTTTTGTGCATGCTTTAACTGCTAGTTATCAATATTAAGCCAATCAAAGCTTTCAAACTGCCTTTCATTACTAGATTTAACTTTATATTCCATCCGGGAAAATTAGATTGATCAGAAATAGGCCACATGACCAATTATTCAAAGCGAAGAAACAAAAACCAGGAAAGTAAGGATAAAGAATAATCTGTGTTCATTTTCTTGACAAAAATCAAGAATTTTTGGCAGACATTCAAAGACTAGATTCATCTCTCATTTTGAAACCCCCCCCTACCGAAAATAAGTGGTGGTTAACAAATCCCTTTAAGTCTCACAAACTTCAGTTAATCCCAGTTAGGAAAAGGGAAGTAAGGAAGCTGCAAAACATTAGGACAAAGCAGAAACAAACACACACTAAAATTGACTAATTCACAACAAAATCAGGTAATAATAATTAGAAAGATAAAGGGAAACTTTATATCTCCATGATGCAGTACTTTTTTCACGATGACCACTTACGTTTTCTCGTTTTCATGTACTTTACTGGTCAGAAAAAAACAGACACAGTCATTTAGATAGCAACAAAGAAACATTTATTTTAACAAGACAGAACATAGCGTTGCCAAGCAACGAATACATGCCCACCAGCAACTTTTTGAAGAAAGGAAAGAACAATCTCATCCTTGTATGAGCATATTTCCAAAGTAATGGCAATAACCATTGCCACATACGTGCTACATACAGTTACGGTCCATTTTCACCAGTCTACTAAATTTACTTGCAGATAGTACATCTTCTAGCCGTTTTCAGTAAGTTAAGGCTCTAGCTTACTGACCACGGGGTCCACGGATGATCCAGGTGTTGGCCGAGAAAGTTCCCAGAAATAAATGTGGTATAGTTCATTTCAATCCGAGCCACAGCAACAGAGGAATAATGGGTAGAAATCTAGAAGTGGCTATACAACACACGTAAAGAGGACATGAGCCAGGTTCCTGGATAATGTATGTTTTCGTCTTTGGCCTATCTTCTAAGTCCACACAGAAACCGGACTAATCAGAAATCTCATTTCTCTTTCCATTGTAAGTGTAGCAATGGTTAATGAACTGACAATGCACATAGTCGCTGCTTCATAAATATGCATTATGTTGTTTATAAAAACTGTTATAAAACAAAACAGCTGTGTATCCTTATAAAACACCAAATTTCATTCGTCAGGACGGATGGACAGATTGGCCGACGGACAGTGGCTGACAAGTATATACTCTCACATAAAATATGGAAGTATAATAATGATATATTTTCGTATTTTACTAAAAAAAAAAAAATTTAAGCTATAGAAAGAATTGATAGTCGAGAGGAAGAAATTATTCAGTCATAAACGAGTTAAATATTATATATTAATACTCACTTGTCTCTAAGAACTGTCCATAATTCACCACCTAAACATGATTCCAATAACATATATAAATATTTTCTATCTCGGAAAGTTCTATGTAATCTGCAAAAGAAATAAGAGCAATTGTAAGTAATCTTTTTTAAGGGTATAGATTGAACACAAACGAGTTACCGTGCTGTTTATCTGGGGAGACTTTGACTTTTTGTTAGAACACTTGATTTAGAGCGACTGGCTGCCATCTTTTCGTTTATGGAATTCTTCAACGCAAAATATATGTGACGTGACCAAAGATAAACCCCCCACCTCCACCCATTACCTGCAAAATGCAATTAATTAAGAAGTAAGAGATACAACACTGGAGCGGCGGGGGTAACTTTGGTGAAATCAATATCCTAATACAATTTCTTTAAGATTACCTTATTAGAGAAGAACACCAAAAGTCAAAACAGACTAAAAATAGATCCTGTGAGATTAAGTCATGATTTACATCAGCTTAGAAGCATCACTGGTGTTTTATCTGCGTACATTGTTTCATCTTAAACACCCGCGTCTCTTAATTACAGACTTTCACGTCCTTAAGTGTGCTTTATGGCACAAATATATGGAAAATAATGGATTACGAGAATGTTATAGAAGATTAAGATTTGGCTAAAAACCGTTCACTAATTGATGATTTCTTAATAAATTATGGTTTGTCATAATAGGGTGGATTGGGGAAGTACCAGTATCGTATATCCATCTCATGCTTATTTCAAATATGGACTAAAGAGGGTGATTTAAAGGGATTTTATATCGACTTTCTAAGTTGGAATTGGAAAGTACCATTTCAATATACCATGCTCATATCAAAGAGAGTGATTTAATGTGACGAAGGACGTTTGTTATTGAAAGCAAACCGAGCGATACTTTTAGCTGTTTGATTCTGAAATATTATATTTTTAAAATAACATCGAAAGATCGTCATTTATAAAACACAGAATCCCTTTTATATCGCTTCGTTGAAAAATTATGTGTTTTGCATCTACTTTTGAAAGCTTACACAGTTTTTAAATTGCTGATTTCAAAAGGCCGAGATTATTTGAAATTTGCAGCTGGGCACCAGTACTTTGTTGTGCAGCTTCTTATCAATAAGAAGAACAGAGAAGTTATCAATAGCAACACATATTAATATCTATTTACTTCTTGAAGTTTGAAATTGATACAGTTTACTCAATGAAAATTTATGTAGGTTTATCGAATGTCATCTACTTGTATAGCGGACCTGAAGAGCAATCTTCTTACAAACCTGTGAAGTAACCTGCTTAACGTGATAGATCTGCTATGAATCATGCTATTTAATATCTAATAATATCTATATAAAAGACAAATATAGATACACACCACTAGTGGGTATTTTAAATGAATATGTTTGAAGTCATGATTTTCCCATTAAAAAAACAATCTCATTAATTTGAAGTCATGACAACTCACGGAAGAATTCTTCTAATAGACAATGCGTCGATTAAAAATACTTGGAATATAGTGATTTATTGCCGATCCCATCGTAATTTTTTAAAATAATGATTTATTTATGAGAATAGCAGACTTTCTTTGAATGTAAACTTTCGATGATGTTTTTGTCACCAAAACGGATAAAGCAAGTTGCCACTAATTGTACGGGGGAAATAATTATGATCCATGAAAATGTGTGCCTCCTGAAAACCAAAATGTTTTACGCATAAAGTTGTGCCCCGATTATTGTTATTCTATTCAGTTCAGACATGCACTAGACACCACAGCGATTTTCTTGACGAATGGAGGCAGTCCCTTCATTACAGTTCGCAGTAATTTTACTAATAACGTGTTAGTTTGATATTATTAGCTAGATGAATCAAAAAGACCAATCCGATAGACGGTTACTTCAGTTTGGATCATATCGACAACTATTTTGAAGGTTTCTGATCAGCCTGGGAACAGATACTACTATACTGAACAGCACCCCCCCCCCCCCCTCATATCGTCCTATTTGAATGTATTAGGATTTTGAAGAATGCAAGCCTGAATAATTCATAGTCATTAATCAGTCTTTAACGATATATAATAATTGTTAAATACATGTATATCAATTTAAAAATTGTAACAATTTAAATTTTTATAGATGCAACCCACGAAAACTGTGCCTTGTTTATCTCTCGATGACGTAGCTTACCATAACCAAAAGGGATTTTAGGTGGCCAACCAATTTCATAAATTGATTTTATCATAGTAATCATTTCATAGATATCGACAAACACCGCTTTAAATAACTGTTCCTATTTCTGACATGAATGTGGAATTAAAAAAAGTAATTTAAAAAGTTCTTTGGGATTATTTTATGTGTCTAGCTTTACTCAATACAGGACATAATAACTCATTATTAGCTTCAAGACATACAAATATAATGGGGCGACCTTCATTTTTTTTATATACGAACCGTCCTTTCTTCATGGCAAATAAATGTGATGTTTACAATAGTAAATCAAGGAGGAACGATTTCTTAGTAATCATTTGTCGTGTTCCATAAATATACGCAGTACAAAAATTCCCAGTGCCAAAGGACAGCGGGTACAAATAAATGGGTTGTCTTTGAAAGCCAAATAATCGAAATTTAAATCTAATAAGCTTAATTTAGGATTTTATTGTTTTATTTCCCGATAAACCTATCCAAAAGACCCTTTTCTGTGCCAGAATGTCATGCATCAGCGGAATAGGTCATGCATTTGGGCATGTCAACCGTACACGACACTAATGATTGAAAACTACTTTTGAAATATTTCTATGTTGCTGTACACGTCACTTATGATTGAAAACTACTTTTGAAATATTTCTATGTTGCTGTACTAACTCCCGAATTTAAACTGGGTTGAATTTGGAGTCGTTTAGAGACTAACACGAGATTACTCTTTAAGTACAAGGTTTTACGTACCATGCGATCGGTTAGTATATACCCCTTTGTCAGGCCAACAATTAGTTCAATGAATTCTGTAACCTATTGAAATGTCTACCTTAATGTGGCTGATCGTTTGAAGCGTCTACCTTAATGTGGCTGATCTTTTGCTATATGAGCATCTAGTGTTTATAATATGCCTGGCATGAAATATAGACAGCGATGGATTCTTATATTTTCATATGCCACGAAAAAATGACCGAAGGCTGAACAAATATAATAGAGGGGAAATGAAGCGATATAAAATTATAGAAATAATTCACAGATAAACAATTACTTAATAAGGCGTAAAATAATCTTGATGAATAAAAATAATGATCTTTCCATGCTGTTTTTTTACTTGATTTACCCTGAAAGTATCAATAGTCCATAAACACCGTCATTAAATAAGAACAAGCATCGTTAGGAGAATCTTCAAACTATAACCCACAACGTTTCATCGTTAGTTTTTGTTAACCGATTGGCCTCAGTTCTTTTACGCGTTCAAATGATTGGTACAGAGAAAATTGTCTTAGCATTTACAAAGTCTATACTTTGGATTTCAAAAAATGAAAAGAGAGTGGGGAGGGGGGGGGGGCGACGTGAGTAAAATGTATTAGGCCATGTCAACCGACAAAAATTCGGCTTGCGCAAGCTACAGTATATAACCAGGTTTTAACCATTCCAGCAATATCACTGTCTTGTACCGTGTTCATATAATTGTCAAGTAAAAACCTAAACGCGAAAATAACCCTGCGATTTAAGCTAGAAACATTACGGCGACCTCCATATTCTGTACTTTATGAGCATCGTTCCCGGTAAATCGATTAAAGGAGCCGTGTTCGGTAGCTGTATGAAATTAATTAACTTTTGACTAATTTATACCTACCTGTCATTACGCTAATCCTGCTAGATCTATATTATTCCGTGAAAAATAGTTTTCTTTAATCATCCTATGGTAAGCTTACATATTAATTACAAATTAAGGTAAAAAGAAAGTCGATTACGTACATGTAAGCGAGAGATTAGATTTAGAAAGACGTATTTCATATTGGTCTGTCTTTATATTGGAAATCATATTTCCGTCTTAAAGTACATCCGGAAAGTGGAAGGTAGACATGTTTGTGAATAATGCAATTAACAGATATATACAATAAAACCAATAAGATTAATGTCTTCCTGTAATATCGCTATTATTTCTGATGTTAATCCAAAACATCAAAGAATATAGTATAGTATGTAAGCTTTTCAGTCCTATTTCACCGTTAACAGTTTAGACGGATTCATACAAAGCCTTAGTCTTTACACCTAATTCAGTTCAACCATCCTTACTTCCGGTTCCATGCCGCGTCTGCGTATGAACCTTTGGGAGGATGGACCTTGACGTTAAAATGTAAAGATGAGGATGTCTATCATTATAATAATTTAAATAACTTACCTAACTATAAAGGCACATCTAGCTTCACTCATTATACGTTTTTCATTCATGATATGTTCTTGTTGTCGCGTTTCTACTATATGATGTTTCTTTAATATTTTCAAGGCATAGGCTTTACTGTGATCGTTGTTTATTTGAACCTAAAAACAAGAGAAATTACTTTTCGTTAACATAATTATAGACTGGTTTATAAGGTACACAAATGAAAAAAATAACGATCCTACCCAGGAGTTAAAAAATACAAAATCATATAAACGAATTCTGCGATACAGATCAAGAGCGGCAAACAGTTTTCTCTTTTAATGTTGTGGATATGGAGTACATGACACAATAAGCTTTCAACTGGCGTGGTTTCGATTCCACTATTGTGCGTGGGTCGCCTGTCCAACCGCGTGAGTTTTCTCTGGGTCCTCCGGTTTCCTCCCAATGCTAAAGACCCCTACGGGCAAGTGAATTATTAAAATAAAATAAAATCTCACGGTTCTCACATCACTCTCACTGTTCTCACCCGGTTCCCCCCCCCCACTTCTAAAGACCCCTACGCGCAAGCGAATTATTGAAATAAAATTGAGCCATGTGTTAGTTCCGCAACAGAAATTGTTGAAATTCGACAGGCTATTTCGTTTTACTAATTCAAATAATGCATATAAATTTCATACAGATCGGATAATAACTTTTGTTGTTCGAACGTTCACAAGATTCAACAAAGTAAAACAATGTCCATAACTCTAGAAGTAATTGGGGGTAATTGCTGACATTCAATAGACTTCTTCATTTCACTAATTTAAACGATGCATATGAATTTCATACAGATTGGGGGATAACTTTTGTCGTTCGAGCGTTCACAAGATTCAACAAAGTGAAACAAGGGCCATAACTCTATATGTAATTAACGGAAATTTGCTGAAACTCAATAGGCTTGTTCATTTTACTAATTTAAACGATACATATACATTCCATAGTTAGAGCATTCACAAGGTACAACAAAGTGAAACAAGTGTCATAACTCACGGCGTAATTAACGGAAATTGCTGAAATTCAATAGGTTTCTTCGTTTCAATAATTTAAATGATGCATATCAATTTCAAACAGATCGGATAATAACTGTTGTCATTAGAGCGTTCGCAAGATTCAACAAAGTGAAACAATGGCCATGACTCAAGTAGTCTGTAGAGTGTTCACAAGAAATTGTGGACGACGGATGGACGGACCGACGGATCGACAGAGGGACGGATGGACAGGGGCGACGGCAATATACGACCACATTTCCACGTGGGCGTATAAAAATAGATAATAAAAAATAAATATATTGAAAATGTCAGTGAAATTAGTTTATTCTGAGCGAAGTTATGAATGGTTAAAGTTTTGACAAAAAAATAACCTAAATTGTGTCAAACCATTCCCGATTGATAGTTCATATTATCGCGTTTCAAGTATCATTGCCACGATAATAAACGAAGTGTCAATTTTCAGTCTTTAAATCGGCCGTCACCTTACATGTTGTCATATAAGCGTTTAATCCAATCAATATCTAAGCCATCGTGTGGCCCTGAGAGTTGATTATGTCTAAATAATAATATATATACCATTTGATGTCAAAATGCCTCTTTAACATTCAATATAACATAATCATTAAATAATTATCTACACGTAATAAGACACACCTTTAGAAATTGAAACCAAAATTATGCCTATTCATTGGCAATGTTTATAAATTGTATGTTTCAAGCGAATAATGGTTAGATATCATCGAATATGTCCAACGTTATACCTATTATTCTTATATATACACACTCCCAGCATCAGATAAATCTTATTTCTTATTGCCACCAAATATTCTTCTATACCGAAGTCAGATACTAAACAGCTTGATTTAGCAGGAGATGCGAGTACTCTCAGGTGTGTTGTATATTGGTTCAGTGGGTCGAATGTTTATGTAAGATTTTATTCACAGCGTCAATATAAATATTGATATGTTAATTTGAATTATCATCTAAAAGGTATATCATATACATATTTATCTAAAATAATAAACACTCTAAAACGCCAAACTGACATTTCTGACAAGCCAACGGTAAGCTCATAGGTGATGTTTCCCACCTCATTTTCATACTAAAGAACTAAGAATTTTTCATACTAAAGAACTAAGACTTATTAATTAAATTTATCTTCGTGTAAAGCATCGATCAATCAAATTGATTATCTTTACTTAGCCTAAGCAGAAAATGCTCAAGATCGAACTAAGAATCAAAGCTGTCGTGTCCCAAAGCACTGACAAATCAAATTACTTGTGCTTAACCTAAGCAGAAATGGTCATACCTCAGTTAGGCAAAATTATTGTGTTTCTAAAGGTGTAACGGACAGATAGACAAACAGGCAAACCATCATATCTAACAAAGATATTTCAATCGGTTTCTTAACCATTTTAGAACGCGTCCTAATTTCAATGTCAGTCATTAATTGCTTTAACTATAGTAACCAATATCGTGATCATAATTACGATATCGTTGATATCATTTCCGTCTTACACTAGATGATACAAGATTAACTTTCAGATTGTGAAAACCAAAATCACCGATACACATTAAAGTGAACGACAATTTGAAGTTTTGCTATGGCACGTACTTGTATGAATTGAAATCTGACATGCCATAATTTGATTTGTTATATCTTTGTTATTATACAAAATTGGTTGATGAACATGTTTTTGAAAACTTATATTCCTCTGTATCAATTTTCAGCTTAGTTTGGTGGCTGATTTAATATAATTTGTTCAAAATTTCAGTTTTGGTTTTTTTTTTATGAAATAAGAATTTAATACCAACATCAGTTGAGATTTCAGTTTCTATATTGAGAAACTGCTGAATGTTTAACAGCAGATGTATTTTTATCAGTAACGGAACATCTGTAAGGCGTACGTACAGATCAGACAGACTGGGTGAAATCAAAGATTAAAGAGAAATATTTGTAATTCTTTTCTTATGGTGTTCAAAGGATTGTGATAAATTGAAACTATAACATGCATAAACCTACTGGGATTGACTTGCTACGAGGGCTAAGGTGTTATCATAATACATCTGTTAATTTTGTTAACATGGATTGTTTAAGGCAAATGTTTGGCAGTTAAAAGCAGTCCCATCCCCAATAGGATACAATCTAATTAATGATAACATTAATGGAACCTAGAAAACTCATTCAATTGTAACTTTGATGTATAGGCATGGTCATACATGTTACAATCTATGTACGCGCTTTTTAAAATTAGATTCTATGGTTTATATTAATGGAATTTTTAAAATTTATATAAATGTTTTTGTTGATATGGTGGTTTCTAGGCTATTTTTAGTTAGGAAAGAACAATTACTGTAGGCAGATAGGTATTTAAATTGAATGAGTCACATAATCAAACAATTCAGAAATTCTAATAAAGATATCAATCATAATGGAATTTTAATTTGGGTTTTTTGATCATTATTTGTTATTCTGAGTTTGAAGTGGGATATACAAGTATTTTTAAAACAAATGATGCATATACTAAAATAACCGATTCGAAATGTAGTGTATATTACACTATTACCGTAACGTACTTTATTTATCCCTTTCTTGGGAGAGCCGCGGTGGCTTAGTGCTAACCAGTAGCTCCCGTATACGATCGCGATATGGTCTTTTCATGTTAATAAATGTCTAATTAATAATTTATATAACGTTTCAGGCCTAAATAAAGACCTGCAATATGCAGATTTAGCTCTTGCATAATATATGTTTAAACAAAACATAAATATATATATATTTCAAAGATTAAATTAAAATAAAACTATTTACCAATTCAACTCGACCAAAACCCCCCACTCCTAACGTAGAGAGTACATGCAAATCGCTGAGTTTAATTTTGGCGTACTCGGAATCAATTCTGTAATATAAAAAAAAAACATAAAAAGATAGAAAGGGCATTAAAAAAATGAAATCCATCCGTGAACACTTCAAGAAGTCACTGATTGTAAATAACGAATACTGAAAGCTTGTCTGACTCTAAAATAGAAGTCAGCCATCTAGAAATATTACAACAATTAATAAATCAAACTTTGTCTGTCAGAAGACAAGCACTTTAATTCTCATTTCGTTTCTAACAGGCGACTTTAATCATAAAACGCAAGAGTTGTCAATAATACATTAGCGTTTTAAAGAATAGATTTAGCTAAAAGGGTCTAAGCTAGAAATGTAGAATATTTTTTTTTACCCCAGCTTTTCTTCGTCGTCTTCATAAATTCGTTTGAGATCATCAAGATTGCTTATGAGTTGGGAATATGCTCTGAAACAAAAGATAATTACAATCAAAATAACACTGAAACATAATTAGAACACCTAATAATGTTTTGCAGTACTTATTAAATGAATATGGAGGGATCGACATCCCTAAAAAGAGTAGTAAAGATTGTCATGGATGATTCTTGCCAGCGGAAATATCTTGATTAAAACAGGGATAGAGTCACCATCTTACTAACTGAGTCACATTGTCCCCCGTGCCCCCCACCCCCCTTCCGCTGAACTGATTCAATAGAATAAAATATAACGTTTCCGGTCTTGTCTTACGACCTCTGTTCATCTGCGGGACTATCCTATCTTGCAATTGTCTATTAGGGCCTCTCATAAATATGTTTTAATAAACACAAGTTTTAATGTACTAGAATTCGTTGACACAAGCATAATGGCTGTGTCCATAATCATTTGAATTTAGGTTATTCATAAAAACATATTAGGTTGATTCTACTTTCGTTTATCAATTTAAACTACTCACTCTCGATCGATTGTTAAACAATCAACACCTTCAGCTTCATGTGCTATAATGTTAGCTGTTCGTACATCTTCTCTGAAAAAGAAACAACACATCAAATACAAGATTAATACAAATTAAAGTTATGAAATAATGTATTTTTTGCCTTTAACAAAACCCCCCCACTTATTTGTGGGTTTTTTTTTGACACCACATTTTACGTAACAAAAATATAAGTGGGTAGTGTGTACATTAAATTGATTTAATAAAGAGAAGATTCATAATTTGATCATTTTCTTGACGTGTAAAATATCACCGAGTTGACGTAGCTAAATAAATATTTCACTTATAAATAAACCTGTAAATCATCAATAAATCAACTGCTCTTGTATAACGGTATTCAGTAATAGATGATATAAGTATCAATAATCCGCTTTTAGTCTAATTAAATCAACAGGTGTTGAAATAAATAATTCATACATAATAAAGGGACATTAGCCATATGTACAATTCGAATAAAGAAACGTGTTTGGTTGCCAACTGGCTATTTTATATCCAATGTCCGCGATTTGGAACGATAAGCAATATAATTCATTATTTAAAATGCATTATAGATCCAAGTGGTATCAGAATACAGATGACAAGGTTTAAGACCCCTTTAAATATAAAACTATCACAGGCCAGTACCTTATAACTTGATGAAAACCAGGAAGTAATTCGAAAGTCAAAGTTCAATGAAACACTCAAAGTGATACACACGTTGCTTCATGACAAAATTTCAAATAGATTGAAAATTTTGCTGCTAGAACGTTCAAAACATTCCACAAGGACAATAACTTTGGCAGTAATCATCAGAAATCGACGCAATTAAACCGGAGTCTTGGCGAGATTAAAGCAAACAACGGATAGTCATTTCGAATGTAGTCTCAAGAGTGGTGACAAGATATAATCAAGATGACAGAGAAAAAACAATAAAACGACACTGCATTCGTATTTGTTCAGAAGAAGTACCTATAAAAACAATAAAGAAAATGGGATTTGTAAATACGTACCCCTGTAAGGCACGTTCACCGAAGAAGTCTCCTTTCTGTAAATATCTCATAGTAACTTCATCTTGTGATTTAGAGCTGCGTTTTGTTACACGCACCTAGAATTTAAACAATATAATTTGACATTTTACAAAAGACACCAATGTGTAAGCAGAAACATGAACAGTCAAGAAAGTAAATTACACTGAAAAAGTGGATAGTTTAATACGAATGACGTACAGAGAGAGAGAGAGAGAGAGAGAGAGAGAGAGAGAGAGAGAAAGAGAAATGGGGTTTAACGTCCACTCGACACAAACTAGGTCATTTCGGGACTAACACATGGTTCAATTTTATTTCAATAATTCGCTTGCGCGTAGGGGTCTTTAGCAGTGGGAGGAAACCGGGGGACCCGGAGAAAACCCACGAGGTTGGACAGGCAACCCTAATCCTTGTCACGTACAACCTGTGAATCGAAACCCTGCCAGTTGACTCAATGACAGACCGTATGATACAGCGCGTGCGTGCTAACCATTCGGCCATCCAACCCCCCAATGACGTACACTTATGTTTAATATTACACAAAGTGTATATATGTACCTGTTAGTAATTCCCCTTTGTTGTTTTCGTTTAATCAAGATGGGATATCGACTTTCGTTTGTTGTTTTGTCGACTAAGTAAAACAATTTTTGAAACAGAACTAATAACAGTTCCAGATGAATTTTAGACATTTCTTTCATCTGACAATATAACATCTACAAATTACCATTTTTTTGTGAATTAGCACTTGGTTGTGGTATGGCAGGAATGTAAACAGGGTGAGAAGGGAAGGTAATATATAAGTAGTGTGAGGTACTTACCTTGCCTTTTGCTATAATATAGAATGTATCACCTCTAGCACCTTGTCGTATAATATATTCACCATTATTATAATGAGCCTAGAAATAGAGAACACAATATACATAATATACAAATAAAAGCTTCTAAGCCAATTATAGTGTCAAAGAATTAGAATCATTCTAATTCCATGGCAGTACGCCTACATAGTCATTCTACAGATTAATCGGAAAAGACAAAATTTGGGGAAATAGTATGTGAATTTCCAAACCAAAAATTATGTCAGAACGACTGATATTCATAATACTGAAGTGGTATGCGGTGTTCTGAATTGAGAAAGTTGTAACCATACCCCGTGTCGTCCGCGCCTGTCAGGAAAACATTTTAGCGTTGCTGCTATGGAAAATATATTAGCAATATTTCTTTTAAAATACAATTCTCACTCTATAGTTGGATATACTTAACGGTATTTCGGATGTGGATAGTCTCACTCTGCAGCTAGAAAGTCAACACAATTATACAAGCTCTAGCATGATGGTTTAGCAGAGAAATGTAGTTCTCCAAAGCCAGTGGCTGTAGTATGATATATAGCAAATATGCGGGAAATCACCCCTTGATGCTACTTGATGCCTTCAAGCCATAAAGATTATTTCATAATTGCTATTATTAATGACGTAACTTACCTCTTCTAAAACATCAGCTATTTTACCAAGTGTTTCTTCTGGAAGACCGTCGAATGTAGGAACGCTAAAAATAAATTAACAAAACTAATTACAATTTATAGTATATCAAAAAATGTAACGATCTTTAAATACAATAACTGCGTTGCCAATTACGATAAATTTAATTAAGGAAGAGATCGAATGACACGAATTTAATGGGTTTCAAACATCTTCTGCCTTTCTAAATTGAATGCTAATACAAATCAGTTAAAAATTTGGTAAAATCTTAGTAAAGAGAATCGATTAAACTGTATGGTTGTGAAATGAAGAGAAAACAGATTGGAAATATAACCACACTAACAGCGTCTCCATATTACCTGCGTAAAAATTCAAGGTGTTCAGAATGTCTTAGGAGACCAGTTCGCATCATTATACTCTGGAAACATGGTCGATCTACAGCCCACAGTTTACATGCTTGCAAAGCTGAAAACATACAATTGCACTTTCAATTTCGTTGTTTATATTCATTTTAAAAGATAAAACATTTAAAAAAAATTGTTTATGGACCGGTCAATCTCAATAACACTAGCTGATTATTATTTAATTTTAATCAATAACGGGCACACGTTCTTGAATGAGCTAATCGGTATTTTTTATTTCGATTAAGCACATGTGTACGTTCTTGATTCGAGCTAGTCGGTATTTTTATTTCAATTACACACGAGCGTTCGTTCTTGATTCGGGCTAATAGGTATTTTGATTTCAATTAATAACGGGCATACGTTCCTGATTCAGTTAGTATGTCTACTTATTTCGATGAAAAGGGCATCTTTTTCACTTAAGCTGGGTTACCGGAAGTAAGTCAGTTTACAAATTTTAGTTGTATCTTTGGAGTTAACTGTCAACTGTTTGGATAGGAATGGGTTATAATAATCGCACCACTGGCTTAACCTACGAAGTATACAAATGGAGAAATATTTTCACCCAATAAAGCAAACACATACAATTCTGATCTCATTTTAAATTTGGAACCCGATCGCATGTCTTTTTAGGTCAACTAAACGGAAATGCATTCATTATCCAGTTTGATCTAGTCGATCAACAGAAAAATCATTATGATACGTTGATTTCTCAGTGTAGCGTGATGAAGCGTAGCGAGTTGATTAAATGCATTGATTACAGAAAAGTAATTAGTGTGCACGCAATGCTGTTTGAAATTGGGAACAAGCTTTTTTGTTATTATGAATCATTGTATGTAAATTTTTTGTGATTGATTTTTAGTCGCAGAATTCTAATACTTGGAACCGAATTAGTCAAATATCGGCAGTAGTGTATACTAGTAGATTAAATACAAAACTTGCTGCTCTGGGGAGATAAAAGATATCTTTCTTCGAATACAAAGTAAAATGTTATACGATGTTTGCTTTATCCCCCTTTTATCGTACGTCTGATTTATATCTGAATCGTATAGCTAACAGAGCATGTCTTATTATTGCCCCTTAAGGTACAAACTTAGGCTTTATCTTGCTGAAATTTTGTTTGGAAGTATCAGTATGTACTTTTAGTCCTCTATTGGTTTTCTCTCTGCCCGTCGGCCTGATCGTCTCTCCTTCATTTCTATTTTCCGAAGAAAAAAACCCATTGGAAACCTTTAATTTGTTACTGAGTTATGGCCCTTTGTTGATCAAAACTGGAAGAAAATTATGTTTTACGGAGACAGTTTAGCTTAAACTTTGAGGTATTTGAATTGAAATTTAGTAGAATTACAAAGTAGAGTTAAGGACCAATTCAGAGAAAACTCAATTTTGCATATCCACAGAAATGTATTCGCACTATAAGTCTATTATAGATGAATGTATATATGTTTTAATCGATACTCTCAAAATACTTGTTTCCCTTTGTCTATTCAAGACGCACTTGTTGTATGGCAGACTTTGCTTTAAATATCACCACCCACACTTCCTAAAGATTGTGTTTGGGTAATGATTATATAATGTTTACAAGGTATTACGTACCATCCGAACGACTAGAACAGAGAGAGAGAGAGAGAAATGGGGTTTAACGTCCACTCGACACAAACTAGGTCATTTCGGGACTAACATATTGTTTTAATTTTATTTACACAATTCGCTTGCGCGTAGGGGTCTTTAGCAGTGGGAGGAAACACGACTAGAACACTTTCCTGGATTATGGCGATATCCCTGAGAAGTGCTACCATGGCCCCCATTATCATTATAAAGTGTAAGCCCAATAATGCGCTCTAAACGAGAATGTTGCATTATATTCATTTCAGAATGTTAACCAATTAAATACAAACTCTAACTTGACAGATGTGTAAAAGGCATCATACGACGAGATTAATGGGTCAACAAAATAGTCTATAATCAGTATAAAAAACAAAACATTGCAACCAAATGACTGCAGTTTCGTTAGCCTTTTCTTTTCAAATTTGAATATATTACATATATAAGTTTAATCATTCGTGTATAAACAAGAACGTGGTATATTTACAATACATGTCTAATCTAATTATACATAATGTTCTAATCCGTGCTAACTTGTTAGCTAAAGGCGTGCAGCTAATCGAAATACTTGAACTGAAAAAAATCGACTTCTTTAATTCCGTTTGACAGTTGATTGGCACAAAAGTGACCCTTTAAATTGCGAAGTTACGCAAATTACTTGTCTGTTCACGCTACATGTTAAGAGGAAATCCATTTCTTGCTTTTGGCACTAATTCACTTTAACTTTTGTGTAATCTTAAATAACATTTATTTGATCAATCTCTTTATCGAAAATCAGCATTGCTTAAAGATTATTTCTCGAGTTATTGACCTTGCTTTTAAAACTTAGAAGGGTTTAATAAGTAAATAATACTGAAATCGAAGAACCTGGTGTAAAAATTCTACAGTTCAGGTAACCTTTCATCTATCCATGACTCAGTTAATAGGCATTTTGTCAGATCCCAATGATTTTTCTGCAATTGGGTGTTATTCATGACTATAGACCCTATACATTATTTACAAAAATGGCTCATTTGTTTTCAGCTATTCGGATATGGCAGCATACACTTTCACAATTCCACGACGAATTTTTCTGACGTTTTCATAACTAATTGGAATTATCCAATACCACGTATGTCAAAATTCAGAATGCACATTTAGTAACCAACTTTTGTATTGTGATTCTAGTTAACTAACGTGCAGTTAACTACAAATTGTGTTTTGAACACTACAATGTCCCTAATGACCACCGTTCTGCCATTAAGCCTAATATCGACTTCAAATTCAATAAGCCAGTACAAGGATAATTCGTTGGCGAGGTGGATTATATCTCGAGAATATATTCTCTTGCGATACGAGTTCATTTTGCACACGTAAACTCCGGCATTGATTCCAGAAATTCCATTGTCCACGAGGAAGCAGAAATAACGCCATGATCTAATAGCCGAACCGAGCTGAATCTTAACCCGCGTCTTTTGGTGTGCCAATTCTGACTGATGTTCGCTAGAGATCAAATTAATGGCATAAAGTTATTTTCGTAAAATCATTTGTCTCTTGCATGGCAATTGTAACTTGTATTAAGGAGGCACGCTCTTTCAGGATAAGCGTTAGAATCAAACAATAATTTAATTCCAGTGTGCTTAAACTTGCTATATGATGCTTTATTTCTCGTACCATTAGATGGAACCTATTTTACGTGTCATTGCTCTTTTAGCGGATATCATCCACTACCATTGTTGCCATGGACGCTTAATGGCATCATAAATTTTAATTAGGCATATGTAATTTGTCAGTGGTTTCCATAAAACATGATATTTCAAACAAGAATTCCATTGATCTCATAGAAAATATCCAGTCTATGATCAATAGAAGGGGAGAAGAAATGTTAATATTGGTATCCAGCATAAAACAAGATTGTCTGTCTGCTTCCAGTAAAACCTTATTTAGATGTTTCTGCAACTTACAATCAAATCAATAGCTTGCCTATCATTTAAGATTTTAATTTGTGTTCCAATCTTTGTTTGGTCATTTAACATTCAGATAGTTTTATACCCCTTTAGGATAATTTTAATATATATTTTCCAACAAATCCAATCGAGCAAGTTTTATAAAAGATCTACTGTAAACACTGACCCAAAAATGTGAACGCGAAGACACACGTTAGCAATCCAAGATTGCTGAACAACCCAACGACGTTTTAAAACACAATTCAGAACTTGGCCCCGTATCATGCTCACAAGATTTCATATGTCCGAAGGAAAATAGAGAGATAGGGATACAATATGTAATTGGTAGGGTTTTGTCTACCATGTAAGAAATTTGAAAGTAATGTAGTGTGTAGGGCCCTCACAAGAAAAATTAGACTGACTGACAATCTGCTGATGGAAACGGTGAACACATCATACGTTCACATTAAATGTGTCTTTATATAAAAAGTACAAAAGAAAGTGTTCGCGAATTGAATCTCACAAATGAATTAGAACCGGTATCAGGTGTTCTATAAATGGATACATCGAGCGATAAAATGGTAGAAATTGATTCAAAAGATGTATCTGGAGAATGAATTATCACAAGTATTTCTAGTGTCGCGTAAATAAGCTCAATTAAAAGGGAAATATCGACATGTTTATTATGATTGATGTACTGGTATGTCGATATCAAATATTAGATATTGATATTACGTAATTCAATAAGTTGATGGTAAACTCTGAAATATCGACACTTAATAAGATGATAGAGTTGAGTAACATTAAGAGTATATAGAATGACATATAAAACAAACATTGTCTACAGCTATAATGCTTTTCTGCCATTGACATAAGAGTATAGATTTTCACTAAATGTCGGGTAGTTAATGGTGTAAATCAGGATGATTGATTGAAGGCTGGCTCTTGAAAGACTAGCCGAAACATCTGTATATCTCTCATCAAAAATATTACACTTGTATTACATCTGTATGAAATCAGAAACAAGCACCGAGCCTAGGGATCTTTTTATAGGAAAGGAAAAATAAACCACCAAAATTTACAATTAATTCAGATATGAAATACATTTTCCGAAAATTAGCTTGTAATAAATATTTTATTGATTTCAAATCTCAAATGGTCATATTTGAGGGCCTTCTTCTCCTCAGGGAGTAACGGTCTAAATCGGGTTTCCAATAGATAAATGATGAAATATTAAATACCCCAGACCGTATCAGTAGATCCGTTATTGTGAAACGTCACAGTTGCTCAGACGTTCCTGTCGGTGAACATTCCACCGTGCATACCATAACGCGCTAGCCGCGTATCATTTCGGAAATCATAATACTAAGGAATCTGACTAAATTATCTTTTAATTTGTACTTTATAATTTGTTTAAAAAGAAAATACGATACGAGAAATGAATGTCTGTATTTGAATGAGACTAAATGCAAGTGGTTGATTACTATTCTACTCTTAGTAGACTGGCAAATTAAGTATCAGGCATTAAAGAAACCCAATTTGTATTGGCTCGGTTACTGATGTGACTCAGTTCCTTGTTATATATCTATCTAGTTCCCTGTTTGACTAAGCTTGAATATCCACCAGGTAAGGCATAGTGTTAAAACAGATTCTAATATTGCTCCTCTATTTTATAGCAACCGGGATTCGATTTATCGGTTTGTTTCACCATTGTCTATATATCAAGCAGTCTTCAAGAGAGCTTGTCGTCACCCCAACTATTCATATATAAGTATAAATGAATCTTATTTATTCAAATATATTTTTTTATTTATTATAAGGCTATTTGAGTACTTTATTATATATTATTTATGCTTACCAAAGTACATAACCAGAAAAGATAAGGTAAGGTGCAAATCCGCGTACCGATTCAAACGGCAGGGTAAAAATATTTTGTTAGCCAGTTCAGATTCAAAAATCGCTTGAATATACTTTCCATTTCAACGATTTTTCCGCGTATATACACAATAAGGAATAGGTATTTTCTTTCAAAGAAATGGATTTTAGAATATGACTCCACCAGAAAACGCATCGATAATACAAGAAACTTGCTTTTTATTCCGACAAAAATCTATTGATTTGCATTTAAAGATTAGTTTAAAATCGAATTTTCCCAAACGTATTATTAGTGAATTATATCTATCAACAATACTTTATCATTCTTCCCTCCCAGTGGAATTTAAAATAACGGCGGTTAGAATGTTCGATAAAATGTACTTTTTAGCCAATTCTCTAATATAACCAAAGAGAGGTCTAATCTTAATAGGTTACAGAACAGAAATATGGGCACAACAGCCTATAACAACTTTTATTGCACACTTGTTGTTATAAAAAAGATAAAGACTTTTCCGGCACGCGAGAAAATATATTAGGGTCCAATTCAAACTTAAATAAAGGGCAACTGTGGTGACATTCTAAAAGAATAATTACAATGAAGGTCAGGGAACAATGTACACTGGAATTATCGGTATTTTAGTCAACTTTGAAAATTCTACTTCGGAAACCATCATTGATTATGATCTATAGACAAGTTTTCGTGGTTCAATACGAGACTGTCAATCTATTACCATTGCCCAGAAAACGTTAACACCACCAAGATCCATTCATTTTATTTGATAGTTTTCTGATGGCTTACAATGTCCATGATTAGACTCGTTGGTGTGATTGTCCTAAGATTGTTTTGGTTAAGTTTCTTTTAAGACAACTGCATACTATCATGTGTTCTTACATACCCTTCATAGCGCACACTTTTTATTAATTTAGATCATTTCATTCACAGTATTTGTAAATGAAGCCTATATAAAAATAAATCAATAAAGATCGCTATTGATAGGCAGACGTTTCCGTACACAAGAGTTTGATTGCGTAAATCAGACACGCTGCTACCCCCATATCATATCAAAGGGCAATAAATAACTTCTTTGTGTTGCATAAAACCTCGAACTTAGCTAACCGCACGACTCTCATGGTTATATACTAAACAGCAAAAGAAACGTCAGGCTGGTATATTATTCTGAATAGACGCATTGCATAAAATTGCGTAATGTCTAGGAATTGTGATGAATTAATCACTAATATGTCAACACACTGTTCACAAAAATTTGCTTTGATCCATTTAGTAAGTTGTTTTCTAGAATGATTTGATTAAAGTGCCTCTCTGATTTTGAAATAGTACTGACTTTTTTTTTGTTGTTTAGTATAGTTGAAGCTACTTTTGACACCAAAGAATGACAAGTATTCCGATTGTTGCAGATGAGAACTACTTCATATCGAACCGAAACGTACGGGGGGACAACGTTAACCACAGAGTCAAGGTTATGCTGGCATGCAACGAAATATGCCTACGACAGCTAACTCGTCCGAAGTACACAATGGTCATCATTTTGGAGAACAGGGAGACAACGATGCTTACGGGAGGAAAGTGCATTTGTAGCACACGTACCTGTAGTGTCCAAATTATCTTGACTATAAAAATTGGCTCTTTTAAAAGACAACACTTCCACCATTAGTGCAGTTTTATATTAGACGTTCGTGTCTACCACATGATCCCCAATACTGGGTCTCTTACCAACTAATACTTAGTACTTAATGGTCAGACATCAAAACATAAAAGTAGCCATTCAAACTTAAACTCACCTTTAACAGTAGCTGTTCTAGTACAATTATATAAGATGGCTAATTCTCCAAACACCTTGCCTGGTGACATGGTGCATAGTTTTTGACCATCTTTTGTTACTTCTACTTTGCCATCTAAAATAGAAAAAAATGATATCGGGCCTTTCAAATTAAAGTTCCAGTCTGAAAAAAAACTCCCTCATTACGGTAGCAACCCGTTTTCTATGTGTATTAAGCTAACACAAAATGACACCTTTAGTTTGTTTTCCTGGAAGAGAAAGCAGTTGTTTCATACTTATACAAGAAGAGGATTACAGAATTCTGAATCCACGGTTGAAACGGGTCCAAGTCCATATTAAGTAGTATCAACCCCATTCTATGCGAATAGGTTTTATTGAAAGGCAAATTGAATGTATCTACAATGACGTATTTAGATTTGTAAATAAGAACACTTGGTTTTGGAATATGGTCTGAGCCCAATGGGACGTCATTTGCATACAGCGAGGTTGTACGGACGCTACCGACGCTACTACTAATATAGTAGTAGTAGTCTTAGTCGTATAATTCTGGTAGTGACTTTAATTATTACGTTGCGTTTTAAACATGTAAAATAGAGAAATGGCGGAAGCAGGTGAAGAGGATTTAATAAGCTCTTAGTTTAAAGACACATACATATGGTGTCGGGTTCTTCTACTTATATTACATCTTACTGTCATTCTAGATGAATCGTTTTGGCAGACAAATAAAGCCAACTTTTACATTTAATGGGCAGACAACAAATAAAGTAATCGTTTGATATCTCAATAGTCTAATTGGAGAAAACAGCCCCCACCGCTACACACACAGCATTCCTTTTCTGAAGCAAGTTATCTGCATATCATCTATAGAAAATATAAAAGCAAACTCAATCCAATGATATGTTAATGATATAGTTCACACCTAGTTATTTTCTGCAATCTTCCGTTATTGCCGTGAAAAACAGTTTTAAAACCTTTATACGAAGAATCTACTTTAAGATGTTAAAGAATGTGTTATAGGTTCCTGCTTAGAATAGAACAAAATGTTTAAGTGTTGCGTTTCATCGTAGAACAGCGATTTTCCATTATATAGGCTTTAAATATATTTTAATCAATATAGAACAATAGTGTGTCGTTGAAAAAAAATAACACGAATGTACTTTACTAGCATCTTGACATTGCACAAGTCGTTTTCATTGTTTGGTTCACAATGGGTTCTAAAATTTTATGAATACAATTGTAGTAAGTATTTGTTTGAATGACAATTAAAACATTACAAAGTCAAAAGAAAGCATGACAACGGACTTTTATCTTCTAACAAATACATTCTCCTTTTAAAGTTGCTTTAAATTAAAATTTGAAAGCATTCTGTATAGAGATATTTCGAATATATACTATTCAAAAAAAGTAGGGGATATTTGATTTTTAAGTGTTATTAAAGTCACCTAATGAAACTGACGAAGAAACAAATGACAAAATGAAATGAAGTTCACATTCATCGATTTATTCCAAGACTGACCATTATAAGGGTAAAATGATACCCGGGGTCAAACAGCAAAGTTACCACAGCATCACAACCAAGTCAGTAACGGGTAAATCCTCCTCTGTTTGCCAAACAATCATTGATCCGACGTGGCATACTCCTAATGAGACGTCTAAGGTCATTTTGGTCCAGATTGTCCCATTCCTGTCGCAACGCAGCAGCAAGTTCTTGGACATTGGCAGGACGTTGTTGACGTTGACGTAACCTCTGTCCAAGCATGTCCCAGACATGCTCGATGGGGGAGAGGTCGGGACTCAGTGCTGGCCAAGGTAATGTGGTGATGTTCTGTTGTTGGAGGTAACCTGTAACGATCCTGGCCCTGTGACATCTTGCGTTGTCATCCTGGAAGATGATACGGCGGCCATGACGTCGTGCGAACGGCACAACATGGACTGCCAAGATGTTGTCCCGGTAGTACTGGCCTGTAACACGCCCTGCAACAACATGTAAAGCCGTTCTTCCAGCAACAGTGATGCCTCCCCACACCATAACTGAACCACCCCCAAATCGATCATGTCTGATGACGTTAACGTCTTGGAAGCGCTCGTTTCGACGACGCCACACCCTCCTACGTCTGTCCAAAAAATCAACAGTGAACCTTGACTCATCTGAAAACATCACATTGCTCCAGCGTCGATTATCCCAGTGTTGACGATCCCTACACCAACGACGTCTTGCCCGAATGTGATGATCTCTCAAACAAGGGATCACGCGAGGACGTCGGGCGCGAAGGTGACCCCTATGCAGTCGATTCCGAATTGTCTGGCCACTCACTCTCACACCAGTGTCTGTTTGAAGACGAGCGCTGATCTGATTTGCTGTGATGACACGATTTCTCAAGGCCAAGGTACAGATAAATCGATCCTGGGCTTGAGTTGTCGCCCTTGGTCGACCTGAGCGTGGTCTGTCCTGTACAGATTGTGTATCACGGTATCTGGACCATAGTCTGCTTATGACAGACTGAGAAACATTCATCGTCCGCGCCACAACCGCCTGTGTTGTGCCGATCTGTAGCATGCCAAGGGCACGTAACCTTTCATTTTGGGTAACCGACGCATATCAAAATTTGTTTTCTGGTCACTAAAACAATTAAACTGATGTTTCCACCCTGGAATTCAATGCCACAATGACTGTAACATTCAAAGTCAGAGTCGTGCAAATTTTGGGTTGGACCCCCATGATGATCCCAAGCATCACCTGCATTCCATGCGGTAGCTATTGGTGCGTTTGGGCGTCACATGTAACTGGAAATGTTTCTTCTGTTAGGTTCTATAGTGACTTTTTTCGTAGTCATTTGCATATTTTAGTATTATGCCCCCAAAATCAAATAATCCCTAGATTAAGTACCAGGCATGATAATTTAGTGGGTTAAATCTTTGCAATTAAAATCGTGGCAGGTTGGAATGTGTAACCTGAATAGGGTTAATCTGAAACAACACCCATTCCATGTGACATCGCCCCTTGTCGCAGCACCAATCTTAGCATACCTACCCTAAATCCATGTTCGTTAGTCGCGAAGGGTTATTAGTAATCGTTCAAATTGTTTGAGTGTTCGACCGCCACAATTTCCTACATTTTGTATCTTGTGCCCCGTGAAACTACTAGTACTTGATTGCAGGTCTATAAAATGTATTGTTAATTGCTAAATTCTAATTAGTGACGTTCTAAAATTACAAATGATTCATGAAACAAGTGGCCAAAGGGAGTCGACTTAATCCTCCATTAGTTAGGAATATATGCGTGGATTGTTGGTTTTGCTTAGTGAGAATAAAAATTCCTAAAACCTTTTTATCATTGACAATTAACCCTTATTTAAAACACCATAAATGACATATTATAATGTATTAAACAATTTTGTTTTCAAACAATATTCCCCCTTTAGCTGCTCCTGTCCACCCCATTATTTAATCAGATCTGAATAAGGATCACACAGTCAACATATCAGTCAGTTTTGGGCGTAATCTATTAAGTGGCTTGGGAAAAAACGGTAAAAATATCAAAATAGACTCCTTCTGGGATCTCTGGCACTGCCACTTTGTGTGGCCAATTACCTTTATGTTTATCTATATCAATTTAAAAAGAAAAACATAAAAAAAAAATCTTGTCTATATTATATACTCTTCAAAAAAAGTAGGGGATATTCAGAAACAATACAAAACTGCAGAAATGCACTGCTGTTTTTATTAGAGATAACCAGTGTATCTTACAGTTCATATGGGCGGCTTATCTGACGGCCCCATTTCACTCGCAAAGAGATACTGTCAAAAGTGAAAATGGACGTTTTTGATTTTTGTCTTAATATTATGAGTAATTGCTCCACTGATCCTCAAACATTCAGCAATTCGTCGTGGCATGCTCCTAATCAACCGTCCAATCACGATTTTGGGCAATCTGACCCACTCTCTTGCAGTGCCACGGCCAATTCTTGCAGTGTTGTCAGTTGACGTTGACGTCGACGAACACGTCTCCAGACATGCTCTATAGGGGAATGGTCAGGACTCATGACTGGCCAAGGCATATGGACAATATGGTGACGCTAGAGGTATTCATTCACGAAACGAGCGCGGTGGTCACGAGCATTATCATCTTGAAAGATGAAACGTCGACCTGCACGTTGAGCAAAGGGCAGAACTATCGGTGCCAGGATGTGGTCACGGTAGTACACACCAGTGACCCTTCCTTGAACAATATGCAAGTCAATTCTGCCAGTCAAGGTGATTCATCCCCACACCATAACAGACCCACACCCGAATCTGTCATGCTGTCTGACGTTAACGTTAATGTCTGACGTTAACGTTAGCATGACGCTCATTTACACGCCTCCAAACGCGAGCACGCCTATCGGTGAAATCCAGAGTAAATCTGGACTCATCTGAGAACATTACACGCGCCCATCGACGATTACCCCAATTTCTACGCTGCCTACACCATTGTTGCCTGTTTGCCATGTGCTGGCGAGTTAATGGAGGCACAACACGCGGTCGTCGCGCATGCAAATGGGCTGCATGTAGCCGATTTCCAATCGTTTGGGGTGTAAGTCGAATTCCTGTAACTTGGTACAAGTTTTCAGAAAGCTGATTGGCCGTTTGTCGTCGATTTTGCAGGACCTGTGTACGAATGTATCGATCATGGGCTTGTGTAGTGGCTCTAGGACGACATGAACGAGGTCTATGATCAACGTTGTGTGTTTGTTGGTACCGGTTCCACAGTCTGGTGATCACAGACTGTGACACATTAAGCATGTTGGCTACTGCTCGCTGTGTAGAACCCATTTGAAGCATGCCAATAGCACGTAGGCGTTCATCATGTTGAAGACGTCTCATTGCAAATTAAACGTAACACACTAAATCAAAGCTACGCTAAACATTAAATCTTATGCAAGAACCGATAGGAAAGCAAACATGGATAGGATAAACCCGCGGCAGTTTTCATCAACCCTATTTTGAAGTGTCAAATTTGACAATGAACCCCTCACACGTGTATGGCGCTATTGCGTGTCGCACTTGCAGCTCATTGGTTCTGTTGGGGCGATAAGTTCTTCATCTGTGAACATACTCTCAAAGCATGTTAAGTGTCCAGGACTATTTATCATATCACAACCTGCATAGATATTTGCATTTCAATATCCCCTACTTTTTTTGAAGAGTATATGATGTCTATTGGTTCAACATAATGTAATTGGTTTTGTTTATTTGTTCAATGCATGACAATATTATCTGAAGTAATCTTGACAAGCATTATCAAATCTATAAAAGTTGGTTGAATCAAGACTTAATGCCCCACCTGATCCCTATGCCGTCAAGGGCATTTATTTAAGTAAATCTGAATAACCCCCACCAATCAACATATTTACAAATTTTGGTGGTAATCCATTGATTCGGCCTGAATTCGAAGTAGGAAACGTACATTTGTTTGGGGCCAAGCAACTTAAATTAGAATGAAGACAATCCGTTCCAAATACCAACCGAAATTTATGAGAAGAAAATCACTAATTATACAAACAGACGGACAAAATGTGGAAAAGGGGTCTAAAACAAAAGCAAATGTGTCTTACCTTCCATAACGTAGACCAGAGAACCGACATCTCCTTCTTTTATTATGATACTGTCTTTAGTAAACTCTACCGGATACATACATTCAACAATTTCTCTAATCTGACCCATATCTAAATTCTTCATAAAATCATTGTCTAAAATAGCCTGTCGTATTAATTCTTTAGAACTGAAAAAAATAGAAACATAAAACGCCATTATCATCTTGATAGGGAAAACACTTAGACATATCGATGTATATCTTTGATAAAAGAAATGAGTGCAACCCCATTTAATCAAATAATAAATCAGATTTTAATCGGTCCAAAGGTGTTCCGGTAAGAAAGGTTAAAAGGGTGTTTGTAGGTAAATTAAATTTATCCCTAGCACAAACGGACCATCTTGACCATGGCTACTGTATAGTATAAATGTGTGTCAGATTATCATGTAGGTGTTAAAGATGCATTATGTTAGAGCTAAATTTGTCTAATGCCTATCTTTTGTTTGGCGTCAAATGTTGTAAAATTCATTAATTAGACATTTATTCACATGTCAAGCCCATAATCTACGCTCTAGAACATCGGGTGGTTTTGAATTTCAACGGATTTAAACACGATTGCTATTTAATGATTTAATTTAAAAATGGATATTACAGACTTTATTACCGTAACAACGGTAGCAATGACAATCGAGACTACACTGTTCTTCTGACGGCAATAACCCCGCCCAGAATGGAGTAATTTGATTGAAATTTTCAACATATACCCTTTTAGATTATCTATTTTTAACTAGAAATGCGAGAATTGGCAGCTCTTTATCTAAATCGTGAATAATGCATCTTTAAGCTGTGTTTAACATGTTCAGTCTTATACGTTCCTCCAATATGCCATAATACGATTTGTTATGCGAATAAATATTTATATTTATAGAGAATCCAAGTGCAAATCGTTATATAAGATATACATGTATGTACATCTGGGTTTCTCTGTCATATACATGTATATAATTATTTTTACACGAATGACAGAATCTGGATTATTAATATTCGCATTTGTTTTCTTTACATACATGTACATGTAGCGATTTATAAATATAATAGTTTCTTAGACCTGTCATTGTTGTTATTATAAGGAATAGCTTTGATTTTTTGTCTGTGTATTATGCTGATGATTAATATACCTTTTATCGTCACTTTTCTCTGGAACAGACGAATCTGATAGTTTTGAGTATTGAGAAAAATGCGCGTATTCAAACATATCGTGGAATGTAAAGAGTACAACAACATCCGAGGCGAAACCCGAAAAATCGACAGCACGACAGCAAGCCAAAATGTGTGCTAATATACTAATTTCTACTTTTCGAGTTGCATTTAGGTTTGGTATGCGTGTTGGCGCCTTCTTATTGACATGAATAAATATCAAAATATGGCTCAGTCAAAAATCGGCATCACGCTACACAAGCCAAAATGAAAGCCGAAAAGTAGACGTCACGATAAAACGAGGGGCGCTATCATCGCAGTGTGTTTATTTCTCAATTTCCTATTTTCGAGCCGATTTTGACATGTGTAGCGTTCTGCCGCCTTACATTTTGTCGTAACTTCTACTTTCGACTTTCGCGTTCTGCATTGGAGAAAGGTAGAAATTGCAAATGGTAGTTATAGGCTTCCAATAATTAGAGCATGGGCCCTGTTCCTGGTCCAAATGAAATGAAATCAAACGGGGTTTAAGGTCCTACTGTTCTGCTCCGATTGGGCTAATGAAGACGGACATACTCCATACAGTCTGCTATGAGGGACATTTTGCCCCGGCAGCGGCACTATGACCTATTCTTATATCGAATTCCAACTGCCAAGGGACCTTTTACGTGTACGTCAATGTAAACACGCGACCTCGGTTTTCCGTCTAATCCGACCGACTAGACATCTGTCCTTTGTCAGGCCCCCCGTCCTGTTCTTGGTCCAAAAAGGAAGATTTTCATGTTTTCAGCATTTTCTGTTCATCACAGTTTGGGGGGAGGGGAGTGATTGAGGCTTTGTCACCCCAATTTTCAGAATGCATAAGTCATTAACTAAAACGAGTTTTCAAAACGTAAACAGTGATCGATTTCATTTTACAATTATTTAATTATATTTCTATGATATATGGTCTCATTCTCTAATTTTTGTACCCGAAAAACGCAAATACATTCCCCCCTTAACTAGACGTTCCTTGGTAAATTAAATACAAGACATTGAACGAAGTCGTTGGTGTTTTTTTTTCAGAATTTTAAAGAAGCTTTTAAGAGGAAAACTGTCAAACTTCAGATTTTCAAGCATTAACAGAATAGACAATATGATTGACAGCCAAGTTGGACAATATCGTTACTAGAGGATTTTAAAGAATGTAATAATCGTTAATAAAACAGCAGGTGGAGTACAGTTGGTTCTAATTTCACACAGGATCCTAGTTTAAAGGGAGTGTCTATATTTAAAAGATACATAAATTGTTTTCTCTCTCATATCAAACTATTAGATACTATTTTCAGTCTGGAAACAAACTATTTTAGACAGCTGATTACACGATTAATATGTTTGATGTTCTATTTGGAGATATAAAGCAGGATAAAATAACTCTTTTAAGGATTACTGTTTTTGCAACAAGACCAGAGTCATATGTTCATACTGACTTCACCGGGCTGTTCCCTTTTACCATCAACATGTTCATCGGCCAGTCGTAGAATTAACGGTACACACTTAGTTGAAAAATGAGAGGTATATTAAATATGTTAAACATTTTGTACCTAGTTTAATCAGGCAGTTAAAATATCAAACACGATATACTTCACAGATTTTATGAGGCCGGATTTCATTAATATTTGTATTCCCAGTTGGATAACGAGAACGTACTTCAGAACCTATCCAATTTAATACATCATTCTGTGATTCTTAGCGATACAGTATCAACAGCTCTGTTCTTTTTCAAAATCTATTCCTTTACAGCGACGAAGGCTAGAGGTCTCGTCGTTTCTTGTAATATAATAAGAATTTGTCATAGAATATGACATATTTATCATCTTAATGTGAACAGCTATTGATGTCTGTATTTGTTTGCCACGGCTTCCGAAATAGATTCGCACTAATTTAAATGCATTCAGTTTGATCAAGATAAAATTAAAACGCATAGCCAAAATTGAGAACTAGAACTATTAGACTAAACGAAGACCTCAAAACAGTTACGTTACGTCTATTAACACCAGAGTTAGTTGCGAACATCATGGTTTAAACTTTAGGAAATCATTTTATATACAAATGTTGTAAGTTATGATTAAATGACTAGCTGCATTTATATCTTATATACATGTTATATATACATGTCCGCCATAATACGTTGATATTGGATGTCATCCAATAGTGCCATATTGCTCATATAATGCACTATTTATATTCTGCAAAAAGCCTAACTCGTATTGCGCAGTCACGGCGGCTAAGTCAGTAAGACGCTGGCTCGATAGCCTGGAGGTCACGGGTTCGCTTCTGTTGTTGGCCGAGATAGTTCATCGAGATATTCCGTCGGGATTTCCCCTTGTCGGTGGTTCAGGACAGAGGGCCTGACAAGGAAAGTTGTCTAGTTGTTTGAATGGGACGAAAAACCAAGGTCCGGTGTACACATTGCCGCGCAAGTAAAAGATCCCTTGGCATTTGGAATTCGATATAAGAGTAGGCCGTAGCGCTTAAAATGTGGTGACAAAGTATTTTTTACTAGCGTGTCTTTATTTTGACTGAACATCAGACCGGAAGTTGATGTTTGCCATTACTCTGATATCTGGAGTCTTTTGTTTATGTAAATTTTTCATGTTATTCATATCTTATTTTCAAATCCCAGTCAGTTTTAGAATAAATACATGTTATTATCTTAACGGTGATAAATGTGTTGTTTTAAACTGACACGCCAAATTAACTCTTGAATGGTGTGTATGTAGTCCCTTCTAAATTTCAGAGCTTAAAAGAGTTAGTTAATAAGAATGTTTTTTGAATTTATCTCAAATAACTGTTAAAGAAACCTGGGTTATATATAAATTTCAAAGATAAACGTTGAATTAATTAGAAAGGAATCGGGTGATATTAGAAGAACGTAATGCTGTATGAGATACAGACATGTGTTGTATGTAATCTAATACATAGTTTTTATGGCTATAATATTATGGTATCGTACTGTTACAATAACAAGTTAATTTCTCTATTGGGATATCCAATGACTTATTAAATAATGTGAGTATTTTCTCTAAATAAGATATGCGCGATAACTTATAATAATATGCCTATGACGGAACCAGTGCTATAATATGTATTGTCCAACCTTAAGTGACGTTAAACGAGTATTTCTTGTATATAAGGTAGGCGAATATTATTCAAAGAAAATACGCAATCAATGACTCAACCACAGACAAATCCCCATTATGAGGCATTTGTGTCCTTTCATATTATGGGTGCTTCAGCACGAAGTCTTGTATAAACTTTTTTACAATAATTGTCCCCTAGACGCAAATTATAATATAATTTTAAACAGATTTGTTGATTTGAATACACCTCTGAGTACACCTAGCCCGCTTATCAAACAAATTTCTTTTTTTTTAGCTTAATTACTTTTTCACATGATAGAAAACGTATTCAAAATGGTTACGATCAATGCACACATCTTAACAATACTACAACTATTGTTACTTTGCTCAAAAGAAAGTAATATTTGAATGAAATTTTCAATTCATTTTGCATTTCTATTTTTAAAATATTATGCTAATATATAGAAAACGTTATTACCGAAAGCGTTATACTTATACGAATTAAAGATGCATTATGTAAGATTTAGATAAATAGCTGACCGTTTTGGTATAATTGTTCGTAAATAGATAACGTTCGTAAATGAATATAGCAAAACATATCAGTAATCTGAGCAAAGTTATGATGTAACCTGGATACATTTTATATTTCGGTCATCCGATGCCTTATGAGTTGATTGTGGGATTGTCATGTGAATAAATTATAATTCACACAACATTTGAAGTAAGTGAAAGGATCCACAATAGGCAAATTTAGCTTTTACATAATGCAACTTATTTTCAAACAAAAATGAAACAAAATATGCCGAGGGACTATCTCTTTAACACACTGATCATTATCATTATTTTGAAGAATTTATTTACGTGTATCTACGA